TATGATTTATAAAGTCAATTTATATAAGCAAATTAAAAACATCTGAAGTAGTTTTAATTTGCCTTCATATCAAAACAATTTTGACTAGCTACAAGATTCTAGATCTCTTAGTTGTTTTCTATATTTACCTATATTAATTCATTGTGTTTTTGCACATGTAATAGTTATTTGAGGAATCCAAGATAGATCTGATTCTTCTTTGTAAGTGGATCTACACGCTTCTCCTTTTTAGAATTCTTCTAGGATGTGGTGTTTTCATGCTTTGTATTTTAATATGGTTTACTTAAATACACTTTTCTTTTTTCTAAAAAAAAAACATTTATTTTTTTTAGTTGTAGGTGGACACAATATCTTCATTTTATTTTTTTGTGGTGCTGAGGATCGGACCAGTGCCTCATGAATGCCAGGCTGCACTCTACCTCTGAGCCACAACCGGGCTCCTATTTAGATACCTTTTTCCTTATTTGGCATCCCATGTCTGCTCATTTTGTTCTAGGAACTCATAAACTGGATGCAACAGATACTCTGTTACTGATATATACTTTCCTAATGTAGACTTAAGTGTTTAATTAATTCAAGGGAAATTTTCATCATTTTCTTGAATATTTCTTAATCTTTATTTTTTTCTCCTAATTCTGGGGTTACTATTTTCTACATATTTGTGCTACTTTCCCCCCTCTATCTCTATGCAATTCTGTTTTCTAATTTCAATCTTTTTCTTCTTTCCTGTGCCTTGTGTGAAAGTCCCTCAACTATATATTTCAACCACCAAGCCATCTTTGGTTGTTTGCTTCCTGCTATTATGACATATTTTATATCCCTAAGATATATCAACTTAAATGTTTAATGATTTCTTTCTTTTTTCTGTTATTTATTTATTTATTTTGTATTGGGGATTGAACCCAGGGGTGTTTCACCACTGAATCACAGCCCCAGCCCTAATGATTTCTCATTCCTGATACAAATCAATAATATCTTTCCTTATTCTAAGTATATTTATTATGTCTATTTTAAATTATTACTTTATTATATCAGTAATTCTGCCTCATCATGTAGATGATCCTTAAGGGTATTATGCTATGTGAAATAAACCAGTTACAAGATGACAAATACTACATGATTTTACTTATATAAGATAGTTAGGGGGCTGAGGTTGTGGCTCAGCGGTAGAGCGCTCGCCTGGAATGCACGAGGTCCGGGGTTCGATCCTCAACACCACATAAAAATAAATAAACAAAATAAAGGTGTTGTGTACAACTAAGAAATAAATATTTAAAAAAAATTTTTTTAAAAAGATAGAATATTTAACATCACAGAAACAGAAAGTAGAACAGTGGCTTCCAGCAATGGGAGGGAGAGGAGTGTGCCTAATGAGTTATTGCCTAATGAGTACAGAGTTTCAGTTTTAAAAGATAACTGATATGTAGTGATTGCCTGACAATATGAATGTATTTAATGCTAATGGACTATATTCTTAAAAATGGTTAAGGTGATAACTTATATGTATCTTACCACAATAAAAAGTAACAATAGCTGAGCATAGTGTTACCCTTGCCTATAACCCCAGTGACTTGGGAGGCTGAAGCAGGAGGATCACAAGTTCAAGACCAGCCTCAGCAGTTTAGCAAGGCCCTAAGCAACTTAGCAAGACCCCATCTCAATATAAAATAATTAGAAAGGGCTGGGAATATATTTCTAATCATTACTTAGATATTTCTGAAACTGGATGTTTTTTTAAATTTTTTTGTTTCTTTGTTTTGTCTTTGTTTTTTTCATACTGGGGATTAAACCCAGGGGTATTTTTACCACTAAGCTAAAGCAATACATATTTATATAACCCAGCAAAGAAGTATTCAGAGGTAACAGATAAAATTCAAAACACTGAAAATAAGTACTATTCACTTACTTTTTCCAGACTCACTGGAAAAAGTAAGTGAATAGTACTAGTGAGAATGTAAAATAATTAAAATAATTTTCTATTTATTTATTTATTTATTTATTTATTGTTGAATCCAGGGGAGCTTTAGGACTGAGTTAAATCCATAGTCTTTTTTATTTTTTATTTTGAGACAGGGTCTCACTAATTTGCTCAGGGTCTCATTAAGCTGCTGAGGCTGGCCTTGAACTTGCCATCCTCCTGAGTCACTGGTATTACAGGCTTGTGTTACCATGTGCTAAAATAATTGTAAATATTGGAAATATGGCAATTCATTATAAAGTCAAATATACACTTGTCATACTACCTAGCAATTTCATTCCCAGGTGTGTAAGAGAAATCAAAACTTATAAGCACCCCAAAACTTGTATGTGAATGTTCCCAACAGCTCTATTCATAACAGTACCAAATGGGAACAACCCAATTGTCTATAGGAGAAAGGATGAGTAAATTGTGATACAGCCATATACAGTTAGCCCTCTGTAGCTAATCAACTGCAGATCAAAAATATTTGGGGAAAAAACCTTGCATCTGGGGCTGGGGCTGGGGCTCAGTGGCATGGCGCTTGCCTCACATGTGTGAGGCACTGGGTTCGAAACTCAGCACCACATAATAAACAAATAAAATAAAGGCATTCTGTCCATCTACAACTACCCCAAAAAATTTTTTAAAAAAACCCTTGCATCTGTATTGAACATATACAGAATGTTTTTCCTTAATATAGTATAACAACTATTCATGTTTATGTTATATTAGGTATTTTAAGTAATCCAGAGATTGTTTAAAGTACATAAGAAGTTTTACATATGTTACATACAAATACTATACCATTTCATATAAGGAACTTGAGGACCCATGGGGTGGGGTTCCTAGAACCAATCCCTAGTGGATACAGAGGTACCACCATAATGGAATACTACTCAGCAATACCATGGAATCAACTATTGATATATTAAACAACATGAATGAATCTCAAAATAATTAATAAAATAATAATGCTGAGTAGAAGAAGCCAGGCATAAAGTGTATGTGCTGTTTAATTCCATTTATATACAACTCGAGAATAGTCCAAGCCACTTCAAGAGAAAGCAGATTGGGATTACCTGGAGGCAGAGTGGGTATGAAGGAGGGATTACAAAGTCTTTTAGGAATAATGGATTTGTTCGTCTCGTTGTGGTGATGGCTTCATGGGCACACAACATTTCAAAATGTACCATCAAAGTTACATTTAATTTAAATATGTGCAACATACTACATGTCCATAAACGTGTTATAGTTTTAAATATATATAGTTATAATTGACAAATGTAAATGGACTCATAAAGTTGCAAGGTTCTTATATTTTATGTGCAATATTAATTCTAAGTAGACTGTGAATCGTTAATATATATATTTTTTAAATAGAGAGAGAGAGAGAGAGAGATAATTTTTTTTTTAATATTTATTTTTTAGTTTTCGGCAGACACAACATCTTTATTTGTATGTGGTGCTGAGGATCGAACCCGGGCTGCACGCATGCCAGGCGAGCGCGCTACCGCTTAAGCCACATCCCCAGCCCCTTAATATATATTTTAATACACAAAGATCACTAAAAATATGCAAAAAGTATAGCCAAAAAGCAAGTTAAAGTAAAATTTTAAATATTTAATTCAAAAGAAGAACCAGAGGAACAATAAATAGATGTTAAAAAAAAAAAAAAAGACAAAATGGGGGGGATAAGCACCTATAATCCCAAATACTCAGAAAGTCAAGGCTAGAGGATCGAAAGTTCAAGGCTAGGCTTAGCAACTTAGCAAAATCCCATTTCAAAATAAAAATGGTGGGGGTGTAGTTCAGTGTCAGAGTGCCCTTGGGTTCAATTCTCAGCAACTGCCTCCCACCAAAAAAAAAAATTACAGTGAGTGTAAATATACTAAACACTTGAACTGAAGGCAGAGGTTGTCATGAAGATACAAGGTATGAATAAAACTAAGAAATGCCATCAATCTTCTGTCTTTATGGTAAATGTTACCATAAGAAGTTCTAAATTTTTTTATTAATGGATTATACATAATAATGGAATTCATTATGCCATATGTGTACATGCATATAACATAATTTGATCAACCTTATTCCTCTAAAATAGTTTTTAATGGCTACATAGTATTCCAACTTCCTGTTTTGGTAGAATTAATAATTTGTAGCTAATTAGATTTATATATATTAGGTTCTGACAACACTTTTCAATTCTTGGTTTCTTTCAACTTATGATTTTATTGACTTTTCATTGCCATCATAAATCTCTCACTGAACACTTTCCTAGTTGCTAAGTTAGAAGATAATAATGTAGGATGATCCAGAATTATATCAGAGTTATTTAATGTCAGTAAATCCTAGTCAGTAATAAAATAACCATGACACTCATCATTAAGGGATCCTTACCAAGAAACATATATATGTGGTGACTATGTATACGTATATAATTGCCACAGAATCATTATACTTATATAGACAGATCTGGGGACAGAACCCAGAGCCTCATGCATTCTAAGTACATGCTCGACCACTGAGCCACACTCCCAGCCCCATGTTCCCTATATTTTGAAAGTCCTATGCTTACTGCTCTGCAATTCTAAAAGCCTCACAAAGCAATAGATCTTGACCTACATTAAGATCAGGACCATTCATTACCAGGTTTTATCATATATACCTAGAATAACTCATACATGTAGAGAATTTTGAAGTCTTCCCCTATTTGGCCAAATGGGATCCTCTTTCCAATCCATCCAAGGACAGGGAAGTTCAAGTCTTTTCTTTCTGGGACTTGACTTCTTCACTGTTCTATCATTGATCTTAATATATGATTTGGTACATAAGAGATAATGAATAATCCAGTCAAATATATAAACACTGGTTAGAGAAGAGTGGGCCACAAAGGGTACCTAGGTTATTTGGATCCACTGTTCACTGGTAAAGGAGGAACAGGTGAATTGATAATTAAATGGGTACAGGTAGAACTTTTCAAAATAATTAATTGAAAAGATTTTACATAACATATTTCATTGAGAAGGAAACACCAACTTACACATGCCATGGTTTCACATTTAAACTAGTAAGTCCTCCTGAAGTTCCTCTGTGGGAAAATAAACAGCATCCAGAGCTGTGAACAGAAGAGGACACCAAGAAAATAGACACAGTTTAGTGTTACTACCTAGAAAATTAAATGTTTTGCTGTTCATTCCAATTTGAATACAACTACATACCATAAACACATAATTTGAAAGGATTAGAAGAGTTTTAGTTAAATCTAAATTCTTCCCTAATCCCCAGGAAAACTAGTAGGCAATTTTCTAGAGTTCTTCCTTTGGGGGAACCTGCTTTATGCCTGAGATTAGGCTGCTCAGTCTTATCCTGAACAGATCCTCCTCCTTTCATTCATACTTTGCAGGGCTGAAAAGGAGCCACACCATCCAAACCACATCTTACTTTATGGCCTTGACTTCAGATGAGGTTGAACAAGGTTGCAGAATAGAAAGGACACAAAATTGTTCAGGCAATGTTCCACATTCTACTTCTGGAAGAAATGCTTAATAAATTATAAAATATTTATGTAAGAAGTGTTACGCAGGGAAAATACTAAGGACCACGGAAATATTCTAGGAATACTGTCAGTGGGAAAATGAGGTTACAAAACTACGTGTACAAATGATACTATTTGTAACATCTATGTGAAAAACTGACAGACATCAGATTAAAAAGCTTTAGAAAGTTATACACTCATACAGTTGAAAGTACTTATCTTTTTTTTTTTGTCTGCTCATGCAGTGTCCATGCCTTTACTTAAAATATATATGTAGGTGAATGTGTGTGAAGGGAAAGCTGCTCCAAGAAAGTGGGAAGTTCATTGATTGATTGATACCAGGATTGAACCCAGGGGTGCTTAACCACTAAGCCACATATCCAGCCCTACAGAGTGCCACTAAACCCTTAAGGCCTCTCCAAGGATTGTTTATTTTTTAAAACAACCTACATTTTACCTGAATCTCTATAATGGCTTTAATGCATTTATTCCCATTCAGGTGTGACCTTTCTTACTAGAAGCAAAAGAAGGGCAACTAACATCATTTTAGTCTCTTTATCACCCCCAATACTAAGACTGTATGACTGGCAATTAGTAAAGGTTTGATTATATTAATTCAAATTCTACTTCTAGGAATTTATTTTAAGGTAATAGTATAGAAATTTTTTTTAAACATGCTTTTTCAGATTGAATCAAAGAATGTATGAAAAGCAGAAGGACAAAATAATTGGGTAATAAAATGTAGCCACATCACTCCCCTACTTTAATAAAATAATTAAAATGTTATTTGGAAAAAAATATTTAAATCCAAAAATGTGATTTGGATTCAATCCTTGCAAAACCACCTTTTTAAATGGGATTGATATATAATTTTAATTTTTGAGTACTATTACTTATAAATTTGACTATTGCTTTTAACATTATGTACTATATATTTTCCTTCATACATCTAAATGCTTCATACATCTAAATTTACTAGCTGCATAATATTTAACCACATGGGTTTATCATTAATCATTAAAATAATCCTAAGCACAAATTTTGCACATAATCACAACAAGAAAATTGTTGTCCTTGACTCTGGATCACAAGAGTCTAAAGCTTTTTGTTTTGTTTGGGGGGACAGTTGCTGGGGATGGAACCCAAGAGTTTAACCACTGAGCTACATCCCCAACCCTTTATATTTCTATTCATTCATTCATTCATTCTTGATATCAGGGATTGAATCCAGGGGCGCTTAAGCACTGAACCACATCTCCAGCCCTTTATATGCGTGTGTGTATATCTTTATTTTATTTATTTTTATGTGGTGCTGAGGATCGAACCTAGTGCAACACGCGTGCTAGGCAAGCAGCTCTACCACTGAGCCACAACCCCAGCATCCCCTCTTTTTCTTTTATTTTGAGATAGGGTCTCACTAAGTTGCTTAAGACCTTGCTAAATGGCTGAGGCTGGCTTTGAACTTGTGATTCTCCTGCCTCTCAGCCTCCCGAGCCTCTAGGATTACAGGTCTGAGCTACCAAGAGACTAAGTCTTTTTTAGATCTGCTTACAATAAGAAAACATGGAAGGAACTGAATGATATGCCAAGTGAGAATGTCTGCGATATTTATCTCAATGGCACCCAATATCCACTGGGGGGAGGGGATAGATCAAGACTAATATACCTCCCACATATTTCCGAATAAGGAAAGCATACCCTAAACCCAATAATTTTAAGAAGAAAAAAAAAATTAGTCTAAACGTTGATTTTTGGAAGTGAAACAATTCTTTACACCTCATCAGGCTCCTTTTGGGGAATGGCAGGGCCAGGGAGGGACAAGGGAGTCATGATTATCCGGCCTTTGAGGATCACAGAATGACTTAGGTGACTCCTCGCCAGGTCCACACCTGCCTGCTCACCCTAACTACCCTCAGAGATCCCAAAGAAAGAACGCCCCGGGCATCCCCAGTCCAGGAGCACGTCAAAGCCTCCTTGCTGGAAAACTTCGCTTAGGTTTCAGTATCCAATGTCCCTCGCTGAGGCATTTCTGTGTCAGACCCAAATAGCTCTGAGGAGAGGGGGCGGAGGAAGCCGAAGAGAACCTCCCGCGGGTCACAGTAACACGTAGAACTCAGCTAGTGACGCACACGGGAGGGACGTGCTGCCCACGTGCCTGTGACGCGAGCGCAGCCACGCACCTGTCGGGGCCTCTCGGCCGTCCTTACCGTTAAGTGGCACGTCCCATCTCCCTCCCAGGCAGTCTCTCTCACATACACAGAGAGGCGCTCACACATTCCGCATCAAGACACACAGACAACCGTGCTGCTTTGCCGTCACGCACCCGTTGCCGACTACGTTATGGACTTGCACGCTTTAAGGGCTTCCTCTACCACTCCGGCCGATTCAGGCCGGACTCCAATTTAATCCGGTTTCCCAGGCTCCTGACCGAGAGCACTCTTGGCCTATAAATATCCTGGGATGAAATCAACTCACCTTGCGAAGCACAAGAACCAAGCAAAAACGGAAGCGAAGCCATAGATTGAGCGTGCCCATTGCCCGCTGGGAAATGTAGTTCAAGTCCGCTTAGCTCTGGCCGCGGTGGCTTGTGGGAAAAGTAGGCCCGCGCCCGAAATTCTCCCGGGATTCGACGCCTGTTGTAAGGACCACCGTGCGCCAGCTACCTGAGATTTTTGTTCTCTCTATGCTAGCATTACGCAGATGCAAAGACGTGTTGCTCTGGCCCAGACGTTTGAGAAAAGCACGTGTCCGATGTGTCCTAGGAAGTCCAGAAAATACCCAGTTTCCCAAAGCTTCCGGCCTGATTGCGAAGAGGGTGCTCTGGAAGGGTCACTGGTATGATCGCGAAGGCGAGCTACCAGGACTGGATTTTACCTCCTGAGGGCGTGGACCCTGTACTTATGTCCCAATATGTATGTCCAGCCTTGCTATCGGTATTTTTAAAGAAAGTAACTATTAAAAAATTGATCCAAATAACAATTCTACATATTATCTACGTATGGGATACAATATATTTTGATATTTATTTACATTGTGATTAAATCAAACTAATTAAATCTATCACCTCACATTCTTATCCCTTTTTGGTGGTGAAAACTCCTTGCTCTGGCAGAGCTAAGAATTGGCAGTGTGATACTTATATTTAAGTCACCAAGGGTCAGGTGATAAATATGTTACATTTTTCCCCTCCTTTCATACATTTAAATCTAATTAACCAAATTTTAGTCGATTTACCAGTAAATTATCTAATTTTGCTTTTCATGCTAACCCCAGAAAGCAGGAGGAAAAAACAATTTGAAATAGAAATTAAAAAGCAGAAAATGAAAATATTCTGAAAAATGTTTTGCAGAAATGCTGACATATACATTACAGACTTTGACCAAACTGTCCCATGCAAGTATTTGCCCAGGATATAGTCTCTGGATTCATCCATCCATACCCAACTACACTCACTGGTACAGGTTCTCAGGCTACCAGAATCCACAAGGTGAGGAGCAAATGAATGGGCTAGCAACTTTATGGAGTCTTCAGGCACACTAGCACTCCTACAACCCCTGAGCTTGAAGACCCATTTAGTATCCTCCGCATTTTGAACTGGGTTGGGAATACTAAGAAGGACTGGGAAGAGACTTGACCCTGAGAAAGAAGAGGGATAGAGATAACATTAGCTTTCTGAGAGGCCAGCATCTTGCATTTACTTGGACAGAAAGAGAACACTTGGCAGACTGGGAGGGTAGCAAAGAGTTCCCACCTGGCTGGGCATGGTGGTTCACTTCTGTAATCCCAGCAATCTGGGAGGCTAAGGCAGGAGGATCAAAAATTTGAGGCCAGCCTGGACAACTTAGCCAGGTCCGGTCTCAAAGTTTAAAAGGGTTAGGGGTGTAGCTCAGTTGTCAACTGCTCCTGTATTTAATCTCCAATATTACAAAATAAATAAATAAAATTTCTGGGTGAAAATTTAAAGAGACATGACTGTGTGCTAACAAAATTTATCATCTAAGAGCCAGATGCTGAACGTTTTATAATGCCAGGAGAGTTTCACCCAACAAATAACTTAAAATGGTTCTTGCTATGAAACATATCAGCTGATGCCGTATTTTTTCCTTATCAAGAAAAATTACTTTGCTAACTATTTCATATTATGATGGAAAGAGGATTGCAAAAACTTGGCAGAAAGGACTGTCCAAATGCCTGTACTAGGAGACTTCATCAAACTTTAGCATGGCTTTCTAGTACCACAATCCCAAGCCCAGCCCCGGAGAATCTCCCCTGGTGCTGATACCCTGGTAGACAGGAGCCATCATTGTCCCATTAGTCAGCTTGGCATGGGCCACCAAGGACCTGAGACGACTTTCCAGGAGGAAGAGTTTGTTTGGGGCTGGGGGCTGCTCCGCTCCTGGTGGTCTGGGTGTACAGAGAGGGAGACTGGAGCTTCAGGAACCCATGTGGCCCTCAGGGCCTTCCCCATGGCCCAAACCCTCCCACCAGATCCACATCCTCCTGGCTCCACCCAGGGTTCCTCCCAGTGGCCAAGGTCGCCAACCTCTGGCTTTGGTGGACACTTCCACACCTCAGCTATCGT